CGCCGCCCTGTACTTTGGTTATTGAGGATCACTGACGCTGCCTCGTACTTTGGCTATTAAGGATAGCTGACGTCGTCTTGTGTTTGGGCTATCTAAATGAAGCAATATGAGGGAAACGCCGCCGACGCCGCGGACCGCGTAGGTACGCTGCTGCCGTGTGGTCACCATCGGAGCGGACCGCGGGAACGCAATTTATCGCCACTTCATATCTAGCATCCATCAGATCAACTAGTTCAATACGTAATTAATGTTGTCATTTCTTTTTTTACTTAATTAAATTTGTTAGAAACTATTTCGGTTTTTCAAGTCCTACGGCTACGACCTTAATTGCGACTTTAATTAATATGTAAACAGCTGGCGTTATTTTCATTGTTTTTAGACTTTTTGACTTACACTATTTCGTTTCCATCTTTTTTATTTTACAGCATTTCAATTAAACTTTACAGATCATAAAACGGGGCGTAACTACATAAATTAATATATGCAATGCACACACTCATAGCCCCGCACTAGGGAAACTCCGTATCGCGGGTGCCACGAACACACATAGACAACCACAAATTACACTCCAATTCACGGGAGAAACACACGCAGATCACACAAGTATCTCTCCCGACCCGGGATCTCCGCCTAACAGACCTGCGCGGTAACCGTTCAACCGAAGGCAGTTAGTAGTAGAAATTTAATTAATACAAATCCGATCGAATATTCGTTTTCGACGATCGCAAACGGCTCAATACGACACGAGACGCGTCTCGCACGCAGGGTCGCGTGCACAAACGGCGTTTCACCTTCGCGAGGCAAAAATGTCCCCACCCCACTGACCTTGCAGCAGAGCGCGAAGTGGCCGAGCAGCAGCGGACCGGCGAAGTAGCCGGTGAGGCAGTTGACGGACGACACGCGCACGCGCCCGTCCAGCGGCACGCGGAAGTACCTGCGCACACGCACTCGTCACGCCGCACCCCCGAGCGCCCCCGCCCCCGCCCGCGCCCGCCCCGCACTCACCACACGTCCCAGCCGAAGGCGTTCTCCACGGGCACGTAGAAGCCGGGCTCGGCCAGCAGCAGGTGGGCCTGCAGCTCCCGGAAGGAGCTCTGCCGGTTCTCCGGGTAGACGGTGACGTGGCTCGGCGTGGCGGTCGTCGCGCGTTTCAGCGACCGGCACACCAGCACGGCGGTCACGTCGGCGCCGCCGGGGCCGTCCGCGGCCGAGTAGTGCAGGTGCACGGTCAGGTACTGGCCCGGCGCCTCCGCCAGCCGCTTGGTGGCCACGCACGCCACCAGCGTGTCGTCGCACTCGAAGTCGCACTGGAACAGCCGCACGAAACGGTGCCGCTCGGAGGCGTCGTCGGAGGGGTTCAGCTTGACGCAGCTGCCGCCGGTGAAGCTGTCCTCGAAGTAGGTCTCGGCGCAGGGCAGCTCGTCGGGCACGAAGGCCAGCTTGAGCCGCTTCTTGGCCAAGCCCTCGCTGAGGCGCAGGCGGATGGAGGGCTCGTACACGAGCCCGCTGCGGCGCGCGCCCGCGCAGGAGCCGGCGGCGTCGGCGTCGGCGCTGTCGCGCGGCGACGCCTGCTCGCCGCCGGCCGGCGCCTCGACGTCGGCGGCGGCGTCGACGACGTCCGCACTGACCGTAGCTTCGGCGACGTCCGCGCTGACCGCCGCTTCGGCGACGTCCGCGTT